TTTTTCACATTCTGTCTCTCACAGTTGAAGTGTACCTCTGGTGCAAATTACTGACCTCAGTCATCATTTTAGGTGGGGGAACTTGCACAATCGGTGGCTGACTAAATACTTTTTTGCCCCACTGTATTACCGATTCATATTATATTCTAAAATAAGTCACAGTGCAACTAATAAAGGCTGCTGTAATTGTATCACAAAGTCTCTTGATGCATGCTCAATCATCCAGGTAAATGAATCCCCAAAAGTTGATTCTGTTCAACTGGGTGTAGCGTTTTCAGAGGGAGAAACGTTTCGTCACTCATCCAAGTGACTTCTTCAGCCTCTGGAGTTGTTTGTCATCAGCATCACATGATTATTGGTCCACATGCAGTAGACTTTTTGGGTGCAAAAGAAAGAAAAAACTCTAGTAATCGCAGGAAAAATTCAACAGAATGCACTACAAAAACAACAAAAAAACTTAGTGGAGAAACATGAAAAAGCAAACTTCAAATAAAGCAAACTGAGGTTGACAAACAACCTCCCCAAAGGAGACAATATAAAACAATATATACACTCAGAGAGATTAAAAACAAGACTGAAAATGAGAAACAATTGGCAGTTGTTTTATAATCATAGTAACAAATCATATTCTATGTGTTCTATACTCTGTCATTAAAAGATACACCCTGTGTTAACTGAGATGTACCATAGCACTGTGACTTGTGATTCCTAAATTTTAAATTTCCTGCTGGTCTGTAACATCAATTGTAACTGAATAATACACATACACTGACTGGCCAATTCGTTTGGCAAATCATTAATGCAAATATCATTCAGTCACATGGTCCAACACGATGCATTTACTAATATTCTAATATATGTTCATGACACAGTGAAGTTTCCCACGTGGTGTGGGAGTTGGTGACTTATGGCTGGCTTATTGATGCCAGAGATCAGAAAAGAATGGCTAAACTGCTTTAAGAAGATAAGATAAGATAAGATAAGATAAGACACGATAAGAAGATAAGAAGAACTTTATTGTCATTGTAGTTATACAACAAAATTTGTTTGGTAGCTCACAGAGGCCAGCAGCAATAAAACAAGAAGCAGCATAGTAATAAATAACCTTAGTAAAAGTATAAGATATAAAGTAAAAGGAAGGCACTTAGCACAGTAAATAACAAAGAAAATAAAATAGTATTTACAATATAGCAAACAGTATAAGATAATATAACAGTATTTACAATGTGGTAGTTGAGTGCAAACATGAATGTCCCATAAAGTGTCTAAAATAATACGTATAACAGTATTTACAGTGTGGTAATTTAGTGCAAACATTAAACATTAACGCCCAGTAAATGACTTTTTACATTAGCAGCAGACATGATATGGGGTAAAGGAGAGAGAGAGAGTTAGCTATTGTGTGTTGGGGGAGGGGTGACACAGGCTCCAGCTCTGGGGAAAAAGCTGTTCTTTAGTCTGTTTGTGTGGGTTCTGATTGCCCTATATCTCTTCCCCGATGGGAGGGGTACAAAAAGTCTGTGACCTGGATGGGTTGGGTCCTTGATGATGCAGCTAGCTCGCTTCTGTAAACGGCTAGCATACACGGTGTCAAAATTCGGGAGTTTGGTTCCAGTGATCCCCTTGGCAGTTTTAAACTAATAGGAAGGCAACAGTAACTCTTGTTGCCACTTTTTAAAACCAAGGTATGCAGCAGAGCATCTCTGAACACTCCGCATTGTACCTTAAAGCAGATTAGCTATATCGGCAGAATATCGCACTGGTGTCTTCAAGTGCCGGACTTGTAAACTAAGAACAGGAAACAGAGGCTACAATTCTCACTGGCTCACTAAAATAAAAAAAACAGAAGATTGCAAAAACATTTCTCGGTCTGATGAGTCTTGATTTCTCTTGTTACATTTGCACTGTAGAATTTAGCATAAACAACATGAATCTACCCAGCATTATATCAGCAATAGAAGCTGCCAGCAGTGGTGTAATGTGTGGGGGATGTTTTCATGATGCTGTCTGGGGCACTTAGTATCAATTGAGCAGCATTTAAATTTCACAGCCTGCCTGAGTATTGCTGCTGATCATATTCATCATTCATACTATGCCCATCTTCTCATGGCTGCTTCCATCATGTCACAAAGCCCAGATAATCTCAAACTGGTTTCTTGAACATGACGATGAGTTCACTGTACTAAAATGGCCTCCATAGTCACCTCATCTCAATTCAATAGAGCATGTGATGGAATGGATATCATGGATATATAGCTGACAAATGTAATCATGTCAATATGTGGACCAAAAGTCTGCAATGTTTCCAGCACCTTGTAGATTTTATGCAACATAGAATTAAGATATTTCTGAAGAGGTCCAACCCAGCTAATGATGTGGTACATGAAGGGGCACAAATTATATCTGTATTATAATTCATTCCACAGAAATATGAAATATGCTGTGATGACAACCAAACTCTAATCCTGGTTCTGACCGTGTCACTGTGAGGGTCTTTTCCACTTGTCTTCTGATAAATTGACATTCTTCATTTTGTCACATGTGAATTTACAGTGTGCACTACTCTCACTGTGTCCCTCTATTGGTGCATTGTTTGCTCACAGAGTAACAGTAACAGCAGCCTGTAACATGGACTTCAGTCGCTTTCCTCTGGATTCTCAAACCTGTTCACTGGAGCTGGAGAGTTGTAAGTAAATGTTTCATCTGATGATAAAATGGTGCACATATCAAGTATTTCATTATTATTAGTAAATATCAATATATTATCTTCTTTTTGAATTGTATTGTCTACCATGTACTCTGCTATTTCTTTGTTTTGTTTTTTGTAACAGTTCCTCTATATTTGAACTTTTCTCCATACATTTTAGGAGAATTGCAGTTAAACCAGTATAAAACTGACAGACCATCATCTTGATGCATCAGCAGAGGTGGCAAAAGTGCAGACAGGGTTACAAAGTACTCCAGTAAAAGTTGAAGTACTGATTCAAATTCTTTACTCAAGTAAAAGTCAAAAGTAAAAAGCAAAGAAACAGACTCTGAAATGTGCTCAGAGTAAGAAAGTAAAAGTAGATCTTTTTGAAAACATTTGCCCCAGCTGTTTTTTATGTAAAGCCAACTGAACCTCGTGCTATATTAATGTAATGTAATATACTCAGCAAGCAAGCAGAGTAAAAAAAAGGGTGAAGTTTTAAAAGTAGCTCTATTTTCTGTTGCCTCAGTCTGAGGAAAAGAATCAAAACTTTTCTTGGTGTACAGGCTGTGATCAGCTGCCATGCTAATACCAACTTTATGTAGCAAAACTACATAAAGTTGGTGAACCACATTCACTGAATTCATCTAAGCATCATATACTTAAATTCAAATTAATGTCTGCTCCCCATTATGCAACCCATAGCCACTGTGCACCAGTCTAACACAATGTTCTTCACTTTAAATCCATTCCAATATGGCAAATTAAACTTCAGAGTGTTTTTGCAACCTTTTAAATAACACAAAATCGTTAAACACCTCAATTTGTTTAGCAAGACTTTTCAGTATATCAAAAATATCAAAAGACATAACTTCACATCATATGCTTCCTTTATTTTTTCAGCTTATCAAATTCCTACTGTGCAGTCCTTACCTTTAAATATCAGTACTCTTTTCTCTCCTTGGACCATTAAGAAGCTAGCAGACTCAGTGTGCAACAAACTGCACACAAACAGTTTGTATGTATGTATATTTGTTGACCTCATAGAAATGCTACATTTGAAGTTGCCGTTTAAAAAAAAATGTTACTGACTTTATGCTAACAATTGAGCTGTGAGGTCAGGTCCTTGATCATTAACATGCAAATTGTCATGAACATTGATCAAAAACCACTGATCAAAGCCCATTGATCATTGGCCATGAGTACCATTCACATTGTTCCTTCAGTGGGCTGGTTTCAGTCATTATGCAAATGTACTGTTTATAAGATTGGGGAAACCTGCAGTCAGCTGAGACTGAAGAAGTCACTTGGATGAGTGATGAAACGTTTCTCCCACTGAAAACGCTACGTCCAGATGAACAGAATCAACTTTTTGGGATTTACTTACTTGGATGATTGAGCATGCATCAAGACATCCTATACACCTGCACACAACCACAAGTGGATAAACAGCTGATTCAGTGCTCCACAACCAGGATGTGGAACATTGCTTCTCCTGGATATAAAGTTAGACTAATGGAAAGATTCTCCATAACGACCTATGCCAGTGGTTCTCAAACTTTTCACAATGAGTACCACCTCATAAAATATATGGCTCTTGAAGTACCACCCTTATGACCGACATTAAAGTACAGTAGTATAGGCCTATTTAACACCACATACTGTTTACCCAAGGCAATTTTATTTCTTATATGAATGTTATTCATTTTAACTGTCATAAACAGGATGTGAAAAGTGATAATAATAACAACTGTACTGCATTAAAACATTCACAGCAGGTGGGATATGCAATCTTTAAGTGATGACATATGAACCCTGCTTCCATGTCCAAACTATTCTACATTTATTAAGGCTGTTGTGTTTTTAACATGTTTTAATGTTTTGAATTTTGTTCTAATTATTTAGAACAAGCCCCTAAAAAAAGTTGGTGATCACTGTCATTCTCTCTTGGTTTTAATCATCACTATTCATTTTAAAGCTCTATTCATTGTAAAACCTTACAATGTAACTACAGCCCAGCCCATGCAGCAGTATATTAATGACTAACCTCGTATTGTGGATGGATTATCTCAGTTGTTCTCCTGACTGAAGTTTGGTCCATTTAAATCATCCCAACATGCGATTGCATTTGTCCCTAACCATCGGGAACCTTCACGTTAACTTTTATCGGGTGGAAAAAAGTTAGCGTTCATCCTCCAGCTTCACTGTGTTTATGTTATGCTAACTATAGCTGTGTAGCTAGCCACCACGCACATCATTATATACCAGCTAGCCCAACTTCAGTAACCCTGCAAACGCTACTGCTGTTTACTTTTCTGTCTTCATTTATGTTGGAAGTGATAGCAGAGCTGTACATTTTAATTTTTGCTGTGGTGGTTAAGCTGCCGGATTTTTGGCTTCACGACCCTCCTTCATAGTTCGTGTACGTTGAAACTCAGTTTGCTCAGTTTGCTCGTCGTGGTGTTTCAGCCAACGACACAAAATGTGGTGGCCTTGCTGGATCCGCTGTCCACCCGCCATGTGATGACCCTCCTCTGGGATCCCTCCAGCCAAGGAAAATACACCGCGCTCAGTACATCGCTACTGCGGTGCTACTCCCTTTTTCACATAGAGCAGGCCGTGAAACTCCTCTCTCTCTCTGGCCTGGGTGATGGTGCCGCTCTCGAGCTCTTGGAGAGCACGTTGTCCTTGCTAGGAGCAGATGACGGCAGATTCCTCTTCACTCACGTCTTTCTCCAATAGTTGCTGGTGCGAGGTGGCCTTGCCAGCTCCCCGCTGCTGGGTGCGAAGGTTTAACGCCCTCTCGCAGAAGAAGTGGATCGCATCCTGACTCACTGACGGTATCTCCCGCACCCCCACCGATTCTCCCGGGAGCCTCCGACTCATTGATGGTGGCTGGGAACGCGGCACCGCGGAAAAGGGCAGTGTTTTTACAGTCAGCGTGACAGCACCATGGCACCTTTGCAGTTTTATGGCCCAGGGAAACGAGCCCACCAGCGCTCTGTAGTCTGGCTGCGACCTTTTCTTTTTACTATTTAATCGTAAAAAAAATGGAGATTTCCCGCGTACCACCAGAGAGAGCCCAAGTACCACTAGTGGTACGCATACCACCATTTGAGAAAGACTGGCCTATGCCATTATGGTGCCAAGTGCACTTACAGACACTCTTATGCTTGAATGTGGTGTCTATCATGCACAAACTGTGGCTGTCAGAGAATTCCAACAACAACACACCGCTCTGGTTCAGATTGGACCAGAACAGTGCCAATCACACCCCCCAAGGTTGCACTGTCATTGCTGACGTGAGCACTGACATCTCCCAGTAGAACAATGGAGCACCACACCCTGAAATTACAAGAAGGCTTGGTACACTGAACTGTCATTTGGCAGATAATTACAGAGAACAGTCATTCCTAGGTTACCAGAACTGAGGCCATAGGGAAGGAAAGTAGGATTTGGTGTAAGATCAATTGCAGTGGTGCCGTGTGGGGAAAATAATCACTTAAAAATAAGTCAATAATTTGTATTATGAGTTCTAATAGAATTTGATTTATGAACAGACTGTGATTAGCTGACCTGTGTTGCTTTGAGATTCTGTGCTCGGTGGGACAAAAATACAACTAGAACATGCTGGAGGTATTAAAGGTATTGCGCTACAGTAGTTTGAATGATATTATTCCAGTATGCTCCAATTTGTTCAGCTAAATGGAGAAATCTTCCTCATACAGTAAGGTTAATTTTGGAGTTCCACACGGTATTGTGTTGGTAATTTAATTTGTTTCAATTTATATTATTCACACCTCCCTCAGGCAATATTCTTAAAAGTCATAGCATACATTTTTCTCAGAAGAGAATTAAAGGGTGAGCTGTGCTACTAGGCACACATGTCATATTTACCATCAACTACAGGTTGAGGCATCTGACAGTCTGTATTATTTTGAAACACCATTACTCCTGCATCATTTTTTTCCTCTAACCTCTTTGTGTGTGTGTGTGTGTGTGTGTGTGTGTGTGTGTGTGTGTGTGTGTGTGTGTGTGTGTGTGTGTGTGTGTGTGTGTGTGTAAGGTTTGTGAGGTTATACCCGTAATCTACATAAGATAAGCACACCCCTAAAAACGTTGTGTACGCTAGCTTAGATAAACACCATCTACAACTCAACAACATGCTGTGTGACAAACATGCATGAAAGTCTGCACCAGTTTCCAGAGCCACCATGGAGATCTAGTGTAAGTCATCCAGCATATCCCAGTCCCTGGACATAGTAATGGCACCCAGAGAGAAGGTCCCAGAACACCACAGAAGCCGGGGGACTGCGAACAAACCCGAAGCCCAAGTGGGGCACTGGACAACACAACCCAGGCACCACGGCCCACCCCAAGAGGTACAAAACAACCAGCCTGAAAAGGGCTGAACCCCAAACTCCCAGACGCCTACCAATCCCAGGAGCAAGAGGCACCCACCCAAACCCAGAGAGCCAGGTGAAGGGAGAGGACAGTGGGCCTGCAGGGAGGGCACCAGAACCGCACCACCATATGAATAGATCCTGCTCTGACATATGGCATAGAAACATTTAACAGGATTCCTGGAAAACCCTCTTTTATCTGATCATGTCCTAATCAGCGGTGGTAAAAGTAAAGACAAAAAGTAAACCACAGATTGTATAAAACTGACAGACCATCCATTCACGATCCATCAGCAGAGGTGGCAAAAGTAAAGACATTGTGTACTTAAGTAGAAGTACAGATGCTAGTTTTTACAAATACTCCAGTAAAAGTTGAAGTACTGATTCGACTTCTTTGTCATTCTTGATAGAATGATAGATGCGCAGTGAAATTTAAAGTAAGTGACATGAATGCTAATTGGCCTGGAGAAAATGATTTGACTAGACCAGTGATCACACAAACAGCTTAAAAGTATGGAAAAGGGGGAGTGATAAAGCTTGGATTTGGCCGGCAACACCTGGGAGCAGACAGATGTGAGACCATAGATTTTCCTTATTGAACTTACTGGAGACTAAGTTTCATTAGTCTCCAGCCTCCTTCCTTCCATTTAGCGTACAGTCTCAGGGTGCTGGATTTGGGGTTAAACCTTCCATACATGGTCAAGAGCTTCCTTGTCTTCCTTGTTCTTGATTTCTATCTCCTACAAGGTGTAGGTGTCAACACCTACAAGGTGTTGACACCCCGGATCTTGATCCCACCATTCCGCTGACTCTTCAGGACTTGCCTGACCTTTTGTACTGCAGGTACTTGGTGGTTGCAGCTTTCCAAGTGGCCTCTTCCTGATTCCATTTGCTTGTGGGATTTCCAAATACTTGTAGCTGTCCTCAATGTCTGCAATGTTGTGTTCCGGTAGCGCGATCCCTTCAGTTCTGACTGCCGTCCAACTGACATTCTGATATCGTTGCTGTATATCTTCGTGGTGTGGATCAGTGAATCGATGTCTCGTTCACTCCTGGCATACAGCTTGATTTCATCGATGTAGAGGAGGTGGCTGACAACTGCTCCATTTTGTAGTCAGGTTCAGACCTGTGAAGAACAGCAGTGGGGAATGGGCAACTCCTTGGTAAATCCCGCACTTGATGGTGACTTTGGCTATTGGTTTGAAGTTGGCTTCTAGTGCTGTTCACCACATCCCCACTGAGTTCCTGATGAAGACTCTTAGGGTCCTGTTAATCTTGTATAGTTCTAGGCATTCCAGGATCCATGTGTGGGGCATCAAGTCATAGGCCTTGTAGTCAATCCAGGCAGTGCACAGGTTGGCCAGCCTAGTCTTGCAGTCTCAGGTGACTGCTCCATCTACCAGGAGCTGGTGTTTTACGCCTCTGGTATTGGGGATCAGGACTGTCGGGCCATTCTCTGTGTTTCATCCCTTAGGAGCCTGTTCATTTTTGCTGCCAGATGCTCATGGAGTGCAATCAGCTTCTTCAGCCAGTAGGCATGAATCATGTCATGGCCTGTTGCTGTCCAGCTCTTCATACTGGAGATCCTTTCTTAGATGTTTGCCACTGTAATGCTTACTGGACCCTGTTCAAGGAGTTTGCGGTGGTCTGCTCTTAGATCCGCTAGCCACTGAGCATTGCCATTGTAGGTTGCATCCCTCTGACTTATGCTGTTCCAGTATTACTCTGTCTCCAGCCTTGGTGGTGCTGTTCTCATATTCTTCCCCTGCCATTGAGAGTACACCTTGGATGGTTTGGTGGAGTACAGCTGGTTTGTTCTCCTGCCCTCTATTTCTCTGGTATACCTCTTCAAGTAGTTGGCCAAGGCTGTGAGTCTTTGCTTGGCAGTTTCCAAGGCCTCAGGTATGGACTGTTGCTGTACTTCTTCGGCACCTTCTTCATCACACCTTTCTGTAACGCCGATAGTTGGCCAACTTCCCTCTGTGCTAACTTGATCTTGGCTTCTAATCTCCTTCTCAATGTAGGGTACTGTTCCTTCTGGCTTTTCATCTTATAGCCAACCATCTCACTGATTAATGCTGCTGTTGTGTAGATCAGCTGATTAGTCTCGATGATGGTTGCAGTAGGGATTGTACATAGTGCTGCATTCACATCTTCTAGTAGATCTTCAGAGGGTACTTCATGCAATCTTGGTAACCGGCTTCGGACGGTCCAGCTTTCCAGCTTTGCCATGATCCTATCTTTCAGGTCACTACTTCATACTTGGTGCCCAATCTTGGGTGGGGGTGATGATATCTCCCACCTGGCTCCCCCTTGCCATATCATTTGTGTTGCACCTCGTCGATCTCTATCTGTGAAACCAGTTCCTTCTTCTGAAAGTTGGAACACTAAGTTACTAGTTGTTTCACCATCAGTCTGAATGCTGGTTAGGGTTAGGGACCTCTGTGGCCAACAATAAACACCCCTCTAGCTCCACTGCCAGTCGGTGTTGTTTTCCACCAATCACCACACAGCTGTCAATCCTGCATCCTCGACCGAAGCTATTGGCTGAGTCTGTTTGAGTCTGTTTCGTTGGCGAGTGAATGGGCATTAATGAAGAAGAGACTGGGAAGTGCTGGTCTGTGCAGGTTAGCATGTAGCCGAAAGCGCAGGCCACTCCTCTTACCCTGCTTTTTTTTCTAGATGTCTCCTCCGTCTACTAGGCCCCAGATTGAGGATGGTGACAGGACCAGTAGTCCGCTGTATCACTGGTGGAATAAAAAACAGCTTTGGGGATGTAAAAAGGTAGTACCACAATTCGGCCCTTTCATACTTTATTAAGCCTCAGAGTGGCTTAGCAGACAGTAAAAATATAAATAAGAATGTACGCGCTCAATCTAAGATATAACATGCCACCAAATAAGATATAATAAGTGAAGACCCTTACACGTTAATCCACTTCGTAATACAAATCCAAATAGTGGGAGGTTTTCCCACAAGCAGAGTGAAAACATGCTTTCATATTGAGAGCTCTTAAATAATGGCCAATCATTTTTTAAAATGTATTTATACATGTTTTAGGCAGTGTCAGCATTTGAAGAATGGATTACATGTGTCAGTGTAGATTTGCATTACCACAAACAGGACAATGAAAACAGAAAAATTCCACAAACTGCCATTTCTCATTATATAACTTCAGCAACAGCAAATTAATTATATTTAATACAAAAAATGTTGTCAGAAATCCCTGAAAGTGCAATCAAACTAGGCCAAGTAAATGCCATCCAGCGCAACAAAGCCAGTGGATGTCTTGATTGTAGGATCCATGGGTTCAAGTAACTGTGGCTCTGTGCATAAAAAACATAATTTTCCCTGTTATTTCTGCAATTCTCTTCTTACTATCCAGAGATAGAGCTACCTGTGTACCTGGGCACCTTAGTACCCAGGTACACTGCACCTTCAGCCTGTTGATTCCTTTATTTTTAAAGGCATCAAAAAGGCTGCCAAGAAAGCCAGCACACACTAGTGTCTCTATACATTACATCCTCTCATGTTTTAAATTTATCTGTGAACTATGTGAAGCTTCAAAATCTCAACAAAAGACAGTTAAGGAATTGCAACAGAAGACAGTTGCATTGTGTAGTAAATTTCTTGAGTACCACTTCAAATTGGCTCTTTTTTCAGTGGTACATTTTACATTTGCTGAAGAGACAGTGCTTGGCATAATATTTATAAATCCTGTCCAGCACTGCCTTAATAATACAATAAATACAATCCCTTACTAAGCTTGCTATAGCTCAGGCTATAGAGCAGATCATCTACTAATCAAATGGTTGGTACTACTCATATGTGGTATGAGTAGTTTTTTCATGTTATGCACATACTAATATATATTCTTCTGACAGTTTTCAGTTGCAGTTTCTTTACTTTTGATTTAGGTTGCTCCTCTGTTTTGTTTTGTTTTTCTTTTTTTTTCTTAATGTAAAGAAATGGTTAAAAGTTCTACTGGCCAAGTCTAAGCTTATTACTGCATGGTGTTTTACAGATGCTTACACAGATGAAGACTTGATGCTCTACTGGAAGAGCGGAGATGAGTCCCTCAGCATTGATGATCGTATCTCCTTATCACAGTTTCTTATTCAGAAGTTTCATACCACATCTCGCTTGGCCTTCTATAGCAGCACAGGTATAAACACTTAACAAAAAATCATAAGTTCTTGATGCTTTTTAAATTATGTTTTTGTGTGTCTATACAGGCTTGCACTTACTTACTGGGTACAGTCAACATATAACCTTTCCTTTAATTCCACCCTTAGGATAAATTTGGACCTTTTATATTGGCTGCTATGCTAGCATGGTTTTAAGGGGGAGGTTTTCAAAGAATCTGAAATCCTCAAATAGTCAAACTGAGCCTAAGTTAAACTCATTGAAAATGAAATAATTTATAACAGTAAATAATGAAAAGTAGAAACAACAACTTTAAGTTTACAGCGGTAGAAAGACATCATGGAATTAGCCGGTAATAACAAGTCAAATACAACTGTGAATCTGGTGGGACCAATACCAAGTCTGGACCACTACATGGAGTACAAATTATTATCATATCTTCATGTTTTTATGTTTCTTTATTTCATGCTTATCTAAATAAGCATATGGTTAGCCCTGCTAAGCCAGGTCTCAGTAAGCACGAGTAAACAACTGTCTTTCACCTCTCATGTTGATGTTACATCCTGAGATGGTTCAGTTTATTTTCCAGTGAGTGGACGTTTGCTTTGTTTAGTATTGCAATTCTTCTTGATACTTCAGAAATTAATGAGATGATGAAAAGCATAAACGAGTGTCTGAATAGCCTTGCAGGCCCGGTATCTTACCAGTGATACCTGTTATGGCAGATACCCTCTAAATTGGTGCACTGGGTTAAATTTTGGGGCCTGGACAGTAGACCTCAAAGTTCTGTTACTTTCAAAGGGCTGGAGTAACCTGTAAGACCTATTTATACCAAAAGGATTAATACTCAGATTTATACCTTTACTGTTTCACAAACAATTAAAAATGACGTTAATTACAGGATATCAAATTGAAACAATTTAGCAGGAGCAAAGCAAAAGCAGAATCAAATAATAATAGCAATCACAAGTCATTGAAATCACTTCATTGCATTTTTTCTTTTCCATGTAATACTTAATATACTTTTAATAATTACACAGCATGTGAACCTTCAGTCAGCTATGGATACAATATCTTAATGTTTCATTTGTTTCAGGTAATTCTACTTCAGGTAGATTTGTCATTAATACATTCTCATATGTACATCCATTTTAACACAATTCAAATATAGAGGAATACTCACTTTTTCTTAATAGAACTTATTTTTTATTAAATTATACATTATAAAAATCAGACATTCTTTGGTGGCTCCTCCCCCATCCTGCAACACACACACACACACCTCCTAAGGCTGTTTCTACACAGCCTCTCAGTTAGACCTGTCGTGGAATCATTCCATAGGTTGTATTGGCTTATTTGTTATATTTGTTCAACTTTAAAATACTTGCCAAGGTCGAAGCTTGATCACGTACTGACACAAGATCACTGCTCAAACCACACTACTCACTTAACTGTTGAGTTATATCTTTGATTAAGAAAAAGGATGATTTACTAAACCACACAAAGAAACTCTGACTGGATGTTAAGCCTTTTCGTCCTGTCTCAGAGGTGATGAGAGGTAAGTCAGGGGGACTTCAATCTGTCTCTGTCCCACCTTTCTTGATACAACCTATCTATAACCTATCCCCAGCATAAACTCTGAAGTTCTGCATTCTTTTTCAAGGCAGAAATGTTAGTGATAGTATTTCTGGATTTTTAAAAAAAGGTATAGAAATTGTTTAACTACAATAAAGTTCAACTCACCAAATACGGATTGAAGAATTTGAAATAGCTGGCAAGAGCCACCCAGAGGGTGTGATTTTAAAAGCATCACTTTATTATTTGAAAAATACCTTTCTCAGAAACCCAGGAGACTCATCTTTATAAATGTCTTTTGCTGCTGAACATTCTAAATTTTGCTGCACAAATAACGAGCATTCAAACATTACATATTACATCTGTCTGAAAGTCTTTACACTGGTTAAGCACTTAGTTAAGCACTGATTTCATTTCATGAGTTTTTAAGCCAGTGCGTGGGTTTTATCAGATGTTTCTTGCGGATAACCAGTGGTTTATAATTGAGGAAGGCCCTGTGGATCTTCCAGCTGTTTTTTCGAAGAAGAAAAATATTTGGTTAGGCTGCTTTTTGTTTCTATCTGTCACCAGGCAGTTTTTATGTTATTAAGTTAGAGGGAAAAAGTCATACATTTTGTTGCAGTACTTTAGAGGAAATAAGAAGCAGAAATCTTCACTTCTTACATCTTACACCTACACATTTGACACCTCATGCAAAATCTTGACATTTTAGGTAAGGAAAGCTCTGACTGCTTTACCACTCTGAGAAGGTCTCTTGCTGTGTTTTCAGGCTGGTACAATCGTCTCTACATCAACTTCACATTGAGACGGCACATCTTCTTCTTCCTGCTGCAGACGTACTTTCCCGCCACACTCATGGTGATGCTTTCATGGGTGTCATTCTGGATTGACCGCCGGGCTGTGCCAGCCAGAGTCTCCTTGGGTAAAAAAAAAAAAGAGAGAGAAAAGAAAAGAAACTCATATCAAATGTTCTTTGAAGAGGCTCTGCATGCCTGAGGAAAATCTGTCTCTGTGGAATGATGAAAGCTCGTTGTGACATAGCTCCACCAACTGGGAATACACACATACATGTGTGATCACACAAGCCTCCCACGCTATACCACGCTTACTTTTCTTTTGAATTATTTTCTGTATTGGGGCTGTTGCTGTACTTGTCACGCAGGCATCTGCTTTCCCCCTTACTTCTCTTATGGCTCAGCTTATCGCTCTTATTAAATTCAGTTGGTGGAGATGTTTTTATGTGACTGTTTGAAGGTCTGTTTTTTTCTTCTTTCTGCTTTGTGCATTTAATAATTTACAGCAGCAATTTAAATTTGAAAGTTGCTCAGGCAGTCCTTGGGCAGTCTATGCAGATGAAATTAACAGGTAGCTAATTCTGGTGTCTTTTCCTTTGAGAATTATTTTAAGAGTACCTGACAAGTATGTTAAAAAAAAAGTAACATATAAAGCAGAAAGGTTGGTTCTCTACCTCCTATTAAATTGAAAAACAGCTTACTTACTGTCTCCAAAAGTTGATTCTGTTCATCTGGACGTAGCGTTTTCAGTGGGAGAAACGTTTCGTCACTCATCCAGGTGACTTCTTCAGTCTCAGCTGACTGCAGGTTTCCCCAAATCTAATTGGGGAAACGTTTCTCCCCTGAAAACGCTACGTCCAGATGAACAGAATCAACTTTTGGAGATTTACTTACCTGGATGATTGAGCATGCATGAAGACGTTTTAATCCGCACTTACTGTCATTCAATGGATTTACCTACAGAATTTTATTTTAGCTCTTTAGCTAATATTGCCAACAATGACCAGTTTAACCTGCATTGGCTGCTTTGAATACATGCTGTGTGTTCAAATAAACACCTTTGGAATGCTAACACAACTTTTGAACAATTCCAGACCTTTTACCTGCTTAAAGACTTTCTCAGTCAGTTGTTTGATAACATTTAAGCCTCCAGAATTGGGAGGGGGGGGGTGTCTCACCTCTCAGTTAAAAGCCAATTTTTCATCCCATAACTGTAAACTGAATAGGTTTTGGTACACAGCTGGAAAAGTACAAAAATGTACCAGTGTCTAAAATTATATGGTTCTAGCCAAAATTCTGCAGCCACCTAATTTTCTAGTGTACATGCTCCCCACCTCCTCACTTCATTAATGGAGTCATTCTACTGGACTTCCTACATTAATGAGCTTCTCAAACAAAATGATTTTTAATAAAATGGACTAGAGAATAACCTTTTTATTAACTTTACATGACATTTAAACTAAGCCTATTATGGATTTGATTCCCTTATAATAAATTAAATGTTAATAATGTTTCACTTAAATTAATCTTTAAAGACCTGTTTAACAAAGGACTTAAAAAGACAAAATATATACTCATTTTGAATAGGCTGTACATTTATCAGTTATCTATAATTGACGTCTTCATCTTCTAATATTCTGGTAATTTATAAAAAGAATTTCCAAATTCCCAGTCATGTCCTCTTGCTACTTGTTAATCTTTAAGAAATGTCCCCATGCCACACAAACAATATCAGCGACTGCTGTATGCACCATTTCATTTGGTTCTGTGGCCAACAGAACCAAATGTACTGATATTATAACTTCAAACGAAAAACAAGATTGAAAAAATCCAGACACGACCCAGCAAGAACTGTGCATGGTCAAGCTGTTTTAAGAAGCATTTTTAAATTCTATAAATAAATAGTGCTGTTAAAGATTGATACCATCAGTCGGAATGAACATGGTAAGGTCTTTAAGCCACAGATGGTCATTTTGAGAGATGAACTAACACACTACTAGTTTGGGTCTTTTTAAAACCAGGAAAACATGAAACAATTGCAAGCCTATCACTGAAGTGAAATGAGGCGACCACTGTGTTGGATCTGAGGTTGCCGAACTCAATTGCTCACATTCCAAGCATGTAGGAGAAACTACTGTGACTGTGACTTCACAGTATGCTTGGCAGACCAAATGTAGATAACATTGGTTCATTTTAAACAAATGAAAAGCAATGATTCATAGTTTAATGTGATTATACAGAAAATTGCTCATACTTGAGGTGATGAGTGATCACCTGTAACACATTGGTCCTTTAAAAACATCTGGACTCATCCTGCTGTAAAAAATGGAGGTATTAGAAAAATGAAATGACATTCAGGTAGGGGTGGGCGATATAGAAACGATATAAATTTGGCCAACGATAGAGATTTTGACTATATCGCTCTATCGCGATAGCGCATGTTGATGATGTCATCAAGCTGCGCCTGTTGGTCGAAAGCATCGCAGCGGCTAAAACCATTATCATCTGCAAAATGGATCCCCTTCAGTTCGCTTATCAGCCTCGTCTCGGAACTGAGGACGCCATCATCTACCTGCTCAATCGTGTCTACACCCATCTGGACCAGCCGGCGAGCACTGTGAGGGTCATGTTTTTTGACTTTTCCAGTGCTTTCAACACCATCAGGCCGACCCTCCTGGGTGATAAGTTAGCAGCGATGCAGGTGGATGCTTCTCTGGTGTCCTGGATTGTTGATTACCTGACAGGAAGACCACAATATGTACGTCTCCCACAGTGTGTGTCTGACAAGGTGATCAGCAACACAGGGGCACCACAGGGGACCGTCCTCTCCCCCTTCCTCTTCACCCTCTACACCACAGACTTCAGCCACTGCACAGAGACCTGCCATCTTCAGAAGTTTTCTGATGACTCTGCGGTGGTTGGATGCATCAGCAGGGATGATGAGACAGAGTACCGGGCTGTGGTCGACTCCTTTGTCACGTGGTGTGAGCAGAATCATCTGCAGCTCAACGTGGCAAAGACCAAGGAACTGATCGTGGACTTCAGGAAGACCAGGAAACACTTGACCCCTGTTTCAATCCAGGGGGTCAGTGTTGACATTGTGGAGGACTATAAATACCTTGGAGTACACATTGACAATAAACTGGACTGGGCTAAAAACACCACAGCACTTTACAGGAAGGGCCAGAGTCGTCTCTATTTTTTGAGGCGACTGAGGTCCTTCAACATCTGCCAGAAAATGCTGAGGATTTTCTATGAGTCTGTTGTGGCCAGTGCAATCCTCTATGCTGTTGCATGCTGGGGGAGCAGGCTGAGGGTCGCAGATGCCAACAGACTTAATAAACTAATCCGTAAGGCCAGTAATGTTGTGGGGATGGAGCTTGACACCCTCAAGGTGGTGTCGGAGAGGCGGATGCTGTCCAAGATAAAGACTATGTTGGATAACACCTCCCACCCACTCCATGACATGCTGGTCAGTCACAGGAGCACGTTCAGTGAGAGACTGAGATTACCAAAAAGCACCACTGAACGACACAGGAAGTCTTTCCTGCCTGTGGCCATCTCCCTGTACAACGCATCCACTTAACACACTGTTTGCTGCTACAACTACACATGTTTCTTTTCCAACTATTTATTTATGAGTGAAGTATGTATGTGTATATATGTATATATTGTACTATTCTTATTCTTAGTTAGTGTATTGTCTGTCTTGTCTTAATGTTGGTTTAAAATGGAGCACTGTAACAAAAAATAATTTCCCCCAGGGATTAATAAAGTATTCTGATTCTGATTCTGATTCTGAAATTATGCCGGGCGACAGTCACAGCAAAGAGATGAAGCACTTTTGAAATATGGGGAAAGCCAAAAACTGCGCTTCCTCCACTTCCATAACATTGATTCATTAATGCTGAATTCTCTCTCTAGTCCCATGTTGTTGCAGTGTATTAATAACTAACCTTGTATTGTGGATGAATGCTCTCAGTTGTTCTCCTGACTGAAGTTTGGCCCGTGTACAGCATCCTGCTACGCGATTGCATTTGTCCCTGACCACCAGAATCCCTCACGTTAACGTTAACTAATCGGTTCGAGGTCAGTAAGAACAACCAGAATTCATACATAAGGCACACTCTTGATTTTTGAGAAAATTAAAGGATTTTAAGTGTGCCTTATAGTGTGGAAAATACGTTATACAGAAGAAAAGAATATATCGTGATATATATCGTTACCACACATGCTTCAAATTATATCGTGATATGAATTTTAGGCCATATCGCCCAGCCCTACATTCAGGTTGGCTCTCTCTCTTGCAGTAGAGTATCTCTTCCTGTTACAACACACACTGGTGTTTTTGTGTAGCTTATCTGCGTAGCCAATTTAATTAAAAACTCGCTAGCAGCATGGCCACTTCACTCGTCTCTCCTGCACTTTCTTGCTCACTGCATCAGATGTTTAGTTAGTCCTTGACATCCTTTAGTAATAATGTGTGTTTGCACATTATTCCACACCAGTTGATTAATCAACCAAAGACCTAAACAGAATTTTAATTCATTCAAAAGCCTGACACTTAGCCTTGTCCACCCCAGCTGGAAAAATCAAAAACCAGTCTTATTTGTTGTTACCCATCATCCACCTAGGCTGAGGTTCTGTCCGAATTCTCAGACTTTGTCTCTGATTTATGGGGTCATATAATTGTTGGGGATTCTCTGTTTTCTTTTTATTATTATAGGGTCTTTACCTTACAATATAAAGTGTTGCGAGGGAAGTGTTATTGTGATTTGGCACTGTATAAATTAAATTACATTAATTAAATTAATTAAAAATTAAACACCTACTATCATTGTAGGTAATACACTATACAAGGCCACAACGCACTGATGTATTTTTATTATTTTCTAGTTATATTTAATTTAAAATGATGATTTTATTATCTTCAGCATATAATCAAATTTTCAGCCTTGTCATGTCACATGCATTGCGTGGCAATGGTATTGAATCAGGGTAATGCTTTTACGCCTGCACTTTTAGCTATACATAAGATTAGCTCCCTGACTGAAGATAAAAAAGAATTATGCTGTAGTGTCTACAATGTAATATGAAAAAGATGCATGCTAAGATTCAAACATGTTTACTTTAGTAAAACTTTGTATCCTGTTTCCAGGCATCACCACAGTGTTGACCATGTCCACCATCATTACTGGAGTGAATGCCTCCATGCCCAGGGTCTCCTACATCAAAGCTGTGGACATTTACCTCTGGGTCAGCTTTGTCTTTGTCTTCTTGTCTGTGTTGGAATACGCTGCTGTCAACTACCTGTCCACTGTCCAGGACCGTCGAGAGCGCAAAATGAGAGAGAGAGTGCGGTCTCAGGTTTGTTTCACTGCACTGATAAATCAAAAGAGAAAGTAATATAACTAAAAAGAGGTTAATTCATTCTACTCACAAGGCACACCTCAACTCCTTCAGCTGTATCAAATGGCAAAACCTCCAGACTCTCTTCCTGAGTCACTTCACTTACAACAATATCTGGTTTCTGTTTTACAAGCAACACCTCAAGAGTGCCAAAGAAATAAAGACAGAAATAAAGAACAGAGAAACAGTGAGTGTTTGTGGCCAGCAGTTTGTGAGAGTTAGTGAAATTTGTGAGATCTCATCCCTGAATGATGTTTAACAGTTGAATTATACATTTAGGGAAACCAAAGAACCCTGGCTAGGTGGATGGCACAACACAGAAGAGCTAGCTTGTCAGGCCAGGACTCCGCAGTCTATTTACACCTACAGGCCAGTCTTCCAGTGATGAGGATGTACACATCTTGGACAGGGAGAAACGCTGGTTGGAACAGAGTCAGGGAGGTCTTTAATGTTAGAAAGGGAATGAGCATCACTAAGCCGAGGAGGAGTCACCATCTTACAATGCTGTGATGGCAGCTTTTTCCAAAGTATCTCCCCCCTCACCACACTCCCTGCCATTGCATTCGTGGTTCTCTGTGTCTGGCGCTGGGTTCTCGGGTGAGTACTGGCTCACTCCCAGCAGCTGCTTGGTGGGGCCTGGTTCCTCTGGCTCAGTTGGGCACCTCCCGGGGTGTAGAGGGCCCTTGGATCTCAGGTCTCTGGGCCCGGGGCTTGGTCTGTTCTGGCGTAGCCATCTGCCGCTGGAGCCTGCAGGCTGCTGCTCAGTAACATTCAATATTTATTATTTACTGTTACTGGTTTGTTGGTTGGTTGTTGCTGTGATTCCCCTACTGTGTTATTTGCTTTTTGCTTTTTTTTCTTCAGCAGGTGATGGAGCAGATTTTTAGTGTCTTTTCTCTCTCTATCACTCTTCTCCTTTATTTTTCTTTCTATCTCCTTCTGTTAACTCAGGAGACAGACACATCTCTACTTTTAAGATTAGGCCAAAGTGCCTTGAGGCAACTGTTGTTATGAATTGGCGCTATATTAATAAAACTGAATTGAACACCTTGTTCGAACATAAGAGTGTCCATAAGTGCACGTGGCACCAGGATGCTGTAGGCCGCAGGTCGATGATTGATTTTGTAATCTTATCACCAGACCTGTGACCACATGTTCTGGACACTCAGGTAAAGAGAGGGGCTGAGCTGTCAACTGATCACCACCTGGTGGTGAGTTGGATCAGGTGGCGGGGGAGAACGCTGGAAAGACCCGGTGCACCTAAACGCGTAGTGAGGGTGTGCTGCAAACACCTAGCAGAGGCCCCAGTCTGTGAGATCTTCAACGCACACCTCCGGCAGAGCTGCAACAGCATTCCGAGGGAGTCTGGGGACATTGAGTCCAAATGGACCATGTTCAGCATCTCCATTGAAGCTACTGCATTTAGCTGCGGCCGCAAAGTGGTTGGTGCCTGTCGTGGTGGTAACCCCCAAACCAAATGGTGGACACCAGAGGTGAAGGGAGCCACCAGGCTGAAGAAGGAGTCCTCCTTGGTTAGCCTGTGGGACTCCGGAGGCAGCCGACAGGTATCGACAGGCCAAGCGGAATGCGGCTTGGGCAGTGGCTGAAGCAAAAACTCGGGTGTGGGAGGAGTTCGAGAGGCCATCGAAAAAGACTTTGGGACTGCCTCAAAGAGAGTCTGGGGATGAGGGGGATGACCCGCCAATTTCCGGGGGCGAGATCACTGAGGCAGTTAAACAACTCCTTGGTGGCAGAGCCCCTGGTGTTGATGAGGTCCGCCCCGAGTTCCTGAAGGCTCTGGACGTTGTAGGGCTGTCCTGGTTGACACGAGTCTGACCGATTCTGTTCATAATTTTTATGGACAGGATTTCTAGGCGCAGCCAAGTGGTGGAGGGCTTTCACTTTGGTGGCCTCAGAATCTCATCTCTGCTTTTCGCGGATGATGTGGTTCTGTTGGCTTCATCGGGTGATGGCCTCCAGCTCGCACTGGAACAGTTCGCAGCCGAGTGTGAAGCAGCCACCTGAGGCCATGGTTCTCAGCCGGAAAAGGGTGGAGTGCCCACTCCAGGTCGGGGATGAGTTCCTGCCCCAAGTGGAGGAGTTCAAGTATCTCGGGGTCTTGTTCGCAAGTGATGGGAGAAGGGAGCCGGAGATCGACAGACGGATTGGGGCTGCGTCTCAATTTACCGGTCGATCTACGTCCCTACCCTCACCTATGGCCACGAGCTGTGGGTAGTGACCGAAAGAACGAGATCGCGGATACAAGCGGCGGAAATGAGCTTCCTCCGAAGGGTGGCTGGCCTCTCCCTTAGAGATAGGGTGAGAAGTTCGGCCATCCGGGAGGGGCTCAGAGTAGAGCAGCTGCTGCTCCACATCGAAAGGAGCCAGCTGAGGTGGTTCGGGCATCTGACAAGGATGCCCCGGGGCAGACCCAGGACACGCTGGAGAGATTATATCTCTCGGCTGGCCTGGGAACGCCTTGGTGTTCCCCCGGATAAGCTGGAGGAGGTGGCTGGGGAGAGGGTGGCTGGGGAGAGGGAGGTCTGGGCTTATCTGCTTAGGCTGCTGCCCCCGCGACCCGGCCTCGGATAAAGTGGAAGAAGATGGGTGGATGGATGGATGGATGGATGGATGGATGGATGGATGGATGGATGGATGGATGGATGAATTCAAACAAATGGCACTGTGCTGTACTGAGAGCTTTTAAAGCAGAAGTTTGAACAACACAATCCTTTCTGATAACAGTAGCTGAAATGAATAAGATTGGCACATTTACAAGACAGCTATCATTCATGCAGTGATCTTCAAAAAATCTGTGTTCCAGCTGCTCTGTCCTGGAGCAAAGATGAAATGTTGATATGTGGTGATGTTGCATGCAATAATGACTTCAGTTGTATTTCTTCCCTGCCAGTCACTGCCCTGTACCTGTGGTATTTCTCAAACACGAACCATGACCATGTTGGATGGCACCTACAGTGAAGCTGACACCAATAGTTTGGCTGGCTACACTGAAGAGCCCATAGTACCTGAGGAAGTACAGGCAGACATGCACGAGGTTTCTGATAAACCTGATCATATGGTGGTACACCTGTCAGTGAGTAGTGAGTCCACAACAACGAAGAAGAAGAAGAGCCTTCGTGCCCTCAACATCATCCAGAACACGCATGCCATTGACAAATACTCCCGAATGATTTTCCCTGGTTCATACATCTTCTTTAATCTTATCTACTGGTCGGTGTACTGCTAAACAACACTGTCAGTCAAGACTGAGGCCAGTGAGGACATTAGCATACACAGACAGTATGAATGCTACATCAGTGAGACAAGGGACTAATTCTGAGTGCTGTTGTGCTGCTAAATCATTATAATGAAGGACATGAGCAAAACATGTCTTAAATGTTTCCAATGTGACTATGGGATGTCAATCAGTTAAAAAAAACAAAAGATATAAATTCTGTTCCAAACCACTGATGCTAATTCTTGTCGTCTCTTTTAGCTTTGTCAGTTGTCAGCTGCTATTGAAAAGGTCTTTGTACAAATTACTGCTATTCCTGATATGATGAAGAAACCGTATATTTTGTATTTTAATTGTATAGATAAAGATACAGTGTATAGTGTCTGTATTTATGCCGTGAGGTATTGATTGTTTATTTATATTTATTGTTTTGATTTTTAACAATCATAAAATGAAAGTCACAATGAGGTGCATTGTTAATCATGACTCAGTTATTTTCATATATATATGATAGATAAATAATGAACTCTGATCATATTTGTAAGACAGTTATTTCAGCTAAAATGATATTCTGACCTAAGATTGAGGAACACACATTAAGAGTTCTCCGAGGTTGTACTCTGTTAGTATGCGCATCATCTTAAAGGCGAATAAGTGCTTTTGCTTTAACATGAATACCTGCTTCTATTTTGCTGGTGTCAGTTTCAGCATTCTCATTATATGCTGTATAGAGTTCTAGAAACAAATATGGGAACAGCTCAAATGTTTTTGTGAAGAATGGCTTCTAAAAATATGAAAGAAATTGATTAAATACAAAGTGAAGCTGATGAATGTCAATATAGTAACATTAGTGGAAAATAATACATAATCATAAACTTTTCCCTGTAAAAGAAATCAAGAAACTCAGGATTCATGCCATGGAGAACAATACTATGTATACCAAAGTTTCTTGTAATGTAACCATAACTGCAGAGATATTTCACTTACCTAGGACACTTGAACTAAAATTCAACGTACTAGTAACACATGACAAAGATCAAAGGTCTGTTAGTCAGTATTAGAAGTTGGGCTGATCATATAATGGCTAACTCAACAGTAACTCAGCTGTTAGCATCTTGCTGGTGATTGATCAACATAGTCACATAAAAAAAACAATCAATTCTCAAAAGACAGAGAAATATGTGGATATGCGTAGCAATGGGTTTGTTTCAATAATGTGAATAATTATTAGTCTGTGCATGGTTCAGAGCAAAGATTTGGTCTGCTGCTATTTTTCACACTTCTTTAGTCTGAAAGCCTCAGTCTGGCAGGACTTATTTACAATTTTTACACTCTTTTAAATAAAATTAAAATGCAAAAAATATTTGGATGTGAAACAGGCAAGTTCCAGAGTTTTTCATGTGAGCACAGGCTGTGGTGGGACGTTACTACTAGAATACTGAGCCTGTTGTTACACTGTAAAACCTAATAAGTTCACAGAACTCAAAAATTGTTGTGTAACAGATTACACAACAATTTTTTAGTGATGTTTTTAAAAGTTTTAAGTTTAACTAAAATAAAAATTATAGTTGCAGTTGCCTTAAATTACCTCAATGTTAACTCATAAATGTTGATATTCCTCAACTTATAATTAGGGAGTAATAAACTCAAAATGTTCAATATTTTTCAACTTAATTAAGGTGGGAAATACACTCAAAATATTTTACATATTGCAACTCATACGATGTGGGAAATAAACTCAAACTTTTTCATATTTTCTAACTTATAATATGGGAAATAACACTTAAAATCTTCAATATTTTTAAAATACTGTGGGAAATACACTTACAAATAATTCTAAACTGTTTGCCCAGTAAATTATAATCAGCTAAAAGTGTTAGAAAACATGAAAGTAACAACACTAACAATTTAACAACTTTTTATTAAACACAATGTGCTTTTAAAAAGGCACAAACAACAGAGCTCACTCATAAAAAAGTGCTTCATAAATAAAACAAGAGAAAAAGACTCCAAGGGTCTCCATCTCAATTCTAAAATTCAATAACATTTTCAGTATTAACAGCAATTGCAGCTATTAGAACATTGAGGCATTTAACACTTACTGTACCTTGACAGCTGCAGCTCACTTTCTTTTTTAAAAATACATAAAAAAACAGTACTGGTTTCCACTGCTGTACTTATAGGGAACAAACATCAAGGCAGTGCATTTACGTATTAGGCAACAGAACATTAAACATGAATAGTGCATGAACAGTCATTCATCTTAAATGTGAGGTAGAAGAGGCAAATGATTAGGAAAAAAAAACAAAAAGAAACGCTTCAATACTTAGCTTAACGAGTTGTCTATTCCAAGTGATTCACTTGAACAAATTCTTCTGCATCAGTATCGACCTAACAGCGGTTTGTTGTATTCAAGGCACATCACAACCTTCTGGATACATGTGAATAAAAGCTCGAGAGTCAGCGTATTGTAGGTCTAGTGCACTATGGTAAATGGCAAATGGCCTGCATTTGTATAGCGCTTTACTCAGTCCCTAAGGACCCCAAAGCGCTTTACACTACATTCAGTCATTCACACACTGGTAATGGCAAGCTACGTTGTAGCCACAGCTGCCCTGGGGCGCACCGGACACTGGCGCCACCGGGCCCTCTGACCACCACCAGTAGGCAAACATGGGGTTAGTATCTTGCCCAAGGATATTTGGTTGCTTGTCCTAAGGCAACTGATCGACAGATCCTTCTGATAAATGGCTGATGTCAGCCACATCTTGGGTATTGTATCTAAGTCAGCACCCTTACCCAAAGAGCAGGAGAAATGACTCAGCCAGATTTGTGGGACCATTCACAAGTATTTCATCCTCAACGACAATGCAGATGCTTTCGGGACTGAAGAGGGCCGAATCAGTAGTGTCATCCGTGACAACTGTCAGCAGAGCCACAGGAGTGTCAGTGAGGTCTGGACCATCTGCTGACTGCAAAACAAAAATAATACAAGAATGAGTTCAGCCCCACAAGGACACAAATCATGCTATTGATTAGAGGTGTGAATCTTCATAAGTCCACGTTTCTTTTAGGATTATAATGTCAACGATTTAATTATATATAATATTAATATAATATTTATTATATTTGGATTATAATGTGATAAGAGCGATACATCATGATGCATTACAATAATCTTAATTTGGGTTTGGTTTCAAAACATATGTTTAAATAAATGTTTTCAATAATAAATATATGCCAAGATATTTGTTTTTGTTGTTTACCAAACATTTCTCTGACCACAACATGGCACCTCCAAAAAAATAGAACACTTGAATTTTAAAAGGGAGATATTTTTATCTGTGGATTTGTTTTTGTTTAATAATCTTTCAACTATTTTCATGTTTTCTGGTTTATGCGTAACAATCTTCTTACAATCTTATTCAACAATAGTTGATATATGGGAGAAAACAAGTCAGATGAGGACTGTGTTGAACCTCCTTCCTGATATACACCCTGGTTCTCCTTGAGTTCTGAGTGATGTCATATGTTCGACTGAACAGGTTGATGCTGAGACCAGTACACTTACATCACAAGTCCTGAATAACGGGGGGGAACCTTCACGCAGGTACACAGGAAGTGCACGAAGGACGAGGGCCTGTCTTGTATTTACATCATGCTGTTCCTAGATGAACATACAATATCTATTAGAATAGTATTTACACAAATGCAGAGTAAAAACAAAGTGTTGGATAGCCATGTTCTGATTGTCATTGTTATAGATCAGGGGTGTCCAAACTTTTTGTGTAACGGGCTAAACTAGAAGGGTAACCCAAAAAAATCTAAAGATTTTGAAGAATTCAGGGCAAAATTCTCCAGTTTCTTTGTATTTATTTTTTATTTAAATTAGGACACAAATTATAAAACTCACCCACTGACAACTGGTGAAATGTTGACTCTCTGTAGCACTCTTTGCAGTCTGATATCTGTAAACAATATGTGCACAAAGACGACTTATTAATGTTCAAAAACATTTTTTGCACAGCACACACACACGTAGTCAGCTGATCCCATCTGATGCAGATCTGCTCCTTGATCAAGTGACATTTGTCCGGATTTTTGGCACGAGTGACGTCGAATCAGCATCGCAGCTGGATGGCCCGATTTACATACCCAGCGCAGCTGATACTCACCACAATAATTTACTAAGATTATATGCACTCCTGTTATTAAGTCCAGTTCAGTCTGTTAATGTTAACCGTTTCAAACTAATGTTGATGAGTGTGTTGCTAAGCTTAATAACTTAAATAACAAACTTGAAATTTACCCGTCCTATTTTCCCTTTTATTGTTTTTTCTCTGTGCTGTAAATCTTCTGTCTAAGAAGAAATCTGTGGCTGCTGATCTGAAAATAAGCTACCAAAGCTTTTTCTGAATGAATCAATAAAAATCCATTTATGGAAAGCTGTGATGAAGGCAGTTTTGTCTTTAATTATATTCAACAATATAACATATTCGACCACTTTTAAGTGATTTTGTGATCTTTAATACACTTTAATACACTAAAGTTAAGGTTATTTACCTAATTTCTAGTAAGTGGCCCTCAGTGAAAAAAGTTTGGACACCCCAGCCTTACAGGTTAGGGAGTATTTGTGATCCGCACAGTCTGCATCAATGATTCTTTCTTAGCCTGGGAGCAGAACGCGGCTCTTTATTTTCATTTCATTTCAATTTATCTAACAAAGATCGATAGGGTCTGGCTTAAAGGTGTCAAGGAGGCGCCTCAGTCTGGCTGGTTGAGCCTTGTCGAATTAGCGCGAACTAAGAAGTTCAGCTAAGTTGCTGAACTTCGTTCGTAGCACCGAGTTCGACCAGTGTGTAATGTTAGGCTGAATCAGGCGATGCATTTTTCCGCAAGCCTTGACTTGTAGAGCTCGCTTAGTGGAATACCCCTCTAAACTGTTAAAAGGATTTCGAGATTATCTCACAACCACACATTTGAGACTACGAAAAAATACAAACATGTGTCTAATTACCATCATGATAACACACTCATGTTGTTTATTATTGTTCGCTTCATGCTAGCACACACACACACACACAGCTCAACAGCGTAAACTACTGACTGTGTAACACGGACACTTATTGAAATAAGTATACTCACAATACGCACGTACATTACCGGCGAATATATGGGCTCAAGATGTGGTCATAAATATTTTGTACTTGTAAAAAAGATTTGTATGCGTAAAAAAGATTTGTGCGTGGACTTAGCCCAAAAAAAACCCTGCAAGTTACAAGTACGAATTTTGACCCTATTTTTCTTCCTTTAAGCTGATTGGTCAATGTCATGTCAATCACAAATTAAACAATCCAATCAGAGAACAGGATTGGAATGAATGCCATCAGTTCATGAACTGACAAATTCCAGTGCGGCTCTGTTCTGTGGGCTTGATGGACCGTGCACTCCCTGATGGTCTGCAGCATTCCCACGTCTAACAGGCAAAGGAAGCTTTGGAGCACACTTGTAATCTTACGCTGTCAGAAGATAAACAAATAGAGAATGGTAAATTTACATGAACCTCACTCTAAATGGGTTTATATAAATATCATATGTAATATGGCAGTGACAAACCTTAGCAGACTCTGTGGGTCCAGCTTGCGCAGTGAAGCACGAGCGATTTGCTGCTGCACTGGGCTTTCCAATGTCCTCCTCAACCCACACAGTGCCGTCTTTTGCCGTGTGGCTCTGGCTGGGCTTCCCAGTACCACGGGGCCTCTTCCATGGAGGCATGTTGGGTTCTTGTTCTGTCTCCTTTACAGATTCTTCTGAGGAGGTATCAGTGGCCTGCTGGACAAATGGAACCTCTCCTCCATCAGAATCTGCTTCATCCATTTCCTGAAGCAAGGCCAAAGCCTGTTGCGCGGAGAGGTTCTTCCTGCGTGGCAGTGATACGGAGGCCATCCTGATGTGCGTTCTCAGAAATGCGAAGAAGAAATGATTCTCCCGCCTGGGTCGGTCTGCTTTTATGCACAGCACTGTGCTGTAGTCAAGCAATGCCACTTCCTCACATACACAGTGACAATGGAACAATGGAAGATCTGTGCTGAGAGTCACGGAAGGTGTGAATGTGTGTCTTTCATATTTGCAGGTCAGTCAATGTGTGGGATATTTTGTATAGATACGGCAGGCGTTTCTGAAAGTTGTAACACAGAGGTTTGGCTTGGCTTGGATCTGAGCAACTCTGAGTGATCAAATGCAAATGTGCCAGGCCTCAAGGATAATGGGTGGTTTGCACAACCAAAGCTGGAGGAGAAACGAGCTGACGACCTGTGAAACTCTCAGCAGGGATGATTAACACCTCGGGACTTGCACCAGAAAATAAAAACCCCAGTAAAGGTGTTGAGTTGAGGGAAGTTACGCAAATTTGCGCAGGTTTAGTAAATCTAGTGTTAAAAGTGGTTAAAAATTCAGCTAGTTCTAATGATTTTAAATGTTCAAACTCCTGCCTCCATAAGTAAGGTTTAGAAGTAGTGCTGTGAGTGTTAATGTTAATAACGAGATTAACGCTGACAGCACTATTTAGAAGACATGACTGCCTCATAAGAGTACATTAGCTGAATTGAAGCTCAAGTTTCAGCAACAAGGTAACTGAGCTAATAACATATGCTCTGGTTAATTTTTTTTTCACATATTCCTTAAAACTCACCATTTCAAAGTAACAGACCAGTAGGTAGTAAACCTAATCACTGTGAGGCATATGAAGTGGTGTCCATTCTTAGCCAGTCATCATCACCATTGAAACCATTGAAAGGAAGGTGTGCTCAATTAGCACAGTGATGGATACTCATTCATCTAACAATATAGACCGGTAATGTTACTATTATTTAGTATATTCTAGCCAAAAGTGATGGAATGGGAGAGGTTTAAATGGGCCCAGCTTCGGCTTTACAAGTTTCAGAAAACATGGCATCAAAAAGGTCATCATAAACCAGAAGTTTTTAGAAGACACCTCTGAAAAACATTGTTCTACAAATTAGATAAAAGGATAAAAATCAATTTTGGATGCCCATTACCTTCAGACCCTCAGATGACACTGAATTAAGAACAGGTATCATTCTATCATGAACTGCATAGGCTCAGGAGCACCTCCAGAAATCATCTGTGAAGACAGTTTGATGGCTGTAGATTAAAACTCTGTTATACAAAGAAAAATTGACTTAAACAAAGTGGAAAACACTTCTGTAATAAGACAAACTGAAATTTGAAATTGTTTTTGGAAAACAGAATTGGGCACTTGCTCCTCTGGACTAAACAGGAGAGGGACCGTCTGCCTTTCTATCAGGACTCAGTTTAAAGCCTCCATCTCTGATGGTATGGGGAGCAACTTATGTACCATCCAGAGTATGGCTTCAGGGAAGGGTTTGCATATTTCAGTAAAACCACATACTGCATCTCTTCCAGCAGCATGGCCTTGTACTAGAAGCATTTGGCCACCAACTGAAAAACATTTGATGTGTCTTGAAATGAAAAACATGAGAAAAAAGACCCAGGACTGTTGAGCAGCTAGAATAATCTATCAGGCTACAATGGGGCAACAATATTCCTCTCCCAAAAGAGCAAGATCTCCTCAGTTCCCAGACGTTTATAGACTGTTACCAAAACACGAGCGTAGTGCACCTCAGGAGGTAGTGCAGGTCATCTGCTAATGGTGGTTCAGTCCCTGGCTGCTCAGTTGACATGCAAAGAATCATTGAGCCAGAAACCCTAAACTACTTTCTGATGCAATAATTGGAGTGTGACTGTTAGAAAGCACTTAGGTGTAGAAAAAAGGTGCTGGTGTGAATGAGATAAGTTGTACAAAGCACCTTGAGAGCTCCAGGAGAATATAGGAACCAGTCCATTTACCATCTTTGGGTTCCCCAACACACACCACTGGACGCAAGTCTCTTCTTATGCTTGTCCAAAGGTTATACTAGACCAAACCCAGTTCGCTCAGTTTTATTAACTGTCAGAGCTACAGTGACTGCCAATCAAAGTCAGCACCAACCACACCTCAGTGCCAGCTTACCAAGTGTGCACATAAATAGAAGAACATAGCAAAATAGAAATGGCCTCCTCTGGTACTCCCCCTGAACCCTCCGTTCCACAAAGACCAGTCGTACTAAACATGGTCTCAACTATTATCAAATTTAAAATTAGCTATTTTTTTCTTCTTCAAATTGTACATTTTCTAAGTTTCAACATTTGATGTATTTTCTATGTTCTGTTGCGATTAAAAGATGGGTTTGTAACATTTTTAAATTGTTGCATTTTATTTAAAATTTACATTTAATACAGCATCTCAAATGTTTTCAGAACTGCTGTTATATTTAAAGTTGTGTTTAAAGCCACATGTGACTTGGGATTATGTTTTGTAAACTGCTGCAATTGCAATCAATACTATGGGTAAAAAAGGAAACTACCTACCTCTTCTGGTGTCATGTTTTCTAAAACATTTTGTTTCTCAAACATTGTCGTTTCTGTATGAAGATAACCACACATTTATGTATTTCTAGTCACTGGTTTTCTGGAACCACTTTCACTCAGCAGGGATTCAAGGTGCCTCTGACCAGTCTGCAGATTCAGATGTGAAACACTGAGGCCCTGTACTTCTTCCTGCTGTGTTCACATGTTTCCTGACTTTTTATTTTGTTATGCAGTTCAACAAAGTGAAGTGTTAAAAACACACAATTCTGCAGTGATTACGGGGTGTAAACGGACTCACGCGCAGACCAGGGATCCTTGCAAAGAAGACAGTGAATTTATTTACAAAAGACAACACCAGGTGATATGTACATGTGCAAGAAGGGGGAGGGGGGGAGGTCCAGGGCTCCAGGGTCGGTGAGGGATCGAACAGACTCCAAACGTTTCCAAATTTCTCTCCTCTCTCCACCACAAGGTCGTACACGCCACACACGCGCTCGCAGGCGGGACCGGGAAAGATCTGTACACAGAAACTCCGGTTAGAAACAGACTGACAGAAAGCAACCCACAGCTTCTAATTTTCTGACTGCAGGGGGACTGACGCTGATAGCTCAACGATGCAGCGACGAGTAGCACAGTGCTGCCATCTTAAGTAGGGCTCGGGATTACAAAGATAGGCAGCAGGTGTGGAGATGGCAGGTGCGTGGGCCAGGGGCGGGAGCCCATAATGAGCACCAATGAGCATAATGAGCTGATCATGCAAACAGTTCTTTTAGCCCGTTCTAATTTAATCACATCATACTGAGATGATATTTGACAGTTGCTGGATTTTTCAAAGAATGCATGTATGTAAAGTTCAAAGTTTGTTTTTGTTTTTGTTTTTTTGGGGGGGGGTTATATTTAATAATACATTCATACGTCAAACAAATATACTGTGACGAATTTTTTCAAATCCACCAATTTTATCCTAAGACAGCAACAGATGTTACAGTAATTCAGTAATTCAAAATTTAATTAAGTTGAGTGACAAATGTCCACATGTGTCCACAGTAAAGCTTTATTCATATCGATCGTAACTGTATAGATATTTATGTTTTTATTTGAAAGCTGATCCTGTATCATTAATAAACATGAAGCCTGTGACTGAAATGCTCTGTACACATGAGTTGTTACTATTTTTTTGGATATATTAAACACATTAACTCACTAAATCCTCTCATGTAAAATTGCAGTAATCCATATTTTATGTTAGCTCTATAGAGCTTATTGTATTGAATGATATTTATGTCATAACGTATGTGCAAGTAAAAAAAGCATAATTCAAGCAAATAATTTCATGTCACAAATGCAAGCAATTGCCTAAGCTTGACTACTTTATCTATTCTGTAGCAATCTTTAGCATAATCTTTACTTATATACTTTACTTATATACTTATATACCATGCATTTTAATGAATTTAAAACATGATAAAGTAAACAAAAGACAGAACGCTTTTTCTTAAACAAGTGGAGAGCTCAATGTTTAGGAAAAATACAGTTTTTCTCTATTTAAATTAATGCCACTTTATAATTGCCTTGAAATTTAATAACATTATCAACAGTGTATCAAGAATATCATTTTTGATCTTTCCAGATGTAGCCAGATGGGCTACTCGCCTTCCGTTTTGTTTCTTCTCTCATTCTCTCTCTCTCTCGCTCGCTCTACCACCCTCGCTCTCTTTCCACTGCACTCGCTCCTTGTATCAGGTGATCGGGTTAATTGGGAACCCACCTGCACATTGATTGCAGGGTGGCGCTAGCCTGTATAAAGCTAAGCCGATGTCTTGTTGGATTAATTCCTCCCGAGCTTCTGGTACGATACAGCAGTAAATGCTGGCGTACTGCGACGGACTGATCAGCAAGAGCCGATTATATGACAACTACAGGTATGCTCTCGCTTAACCTCAGATTCCCTCCGAATACTGGAATTGGTGTTAATATCCTTTTCCGGCCTGTTGTAGCGCAGCAGTCTGTTTAATTCTGCCATTGCGGAGAGAGGTGTTCGTGGTATCTCCACCAATGAGAGTATTCATAGCTATAAGAGTTTAAGGTTACATTTATCTGTTTCAGGGTTCACTGCTGTACTCACCTCTCCATGGTAAATTGTCCAACCTAAATTGGAAGAGTGGACTGCCTTCTCAGCTGCTGTTGTGAACTCCTCCTTGGTGGAGTCTGCTGTCTTGTCTTGTTTTGTCTTATCTTGTTTTTATTAAGTAGGCTTACCCTTTTTTGGGTTCGCCTGGTGTTTTATTTTACCCTGGGCTGTTGTTCCTACCCATACTTCTGTGATCGGGCTGAAGTGATTCTCTGCCCGAGTGTCGTGCTGGGACTCTAAATCACCTGGGTGGCCGGTCTCAGCCGGTGGGGAGCCAGACCGGCCTACGCCTGAGAATAATTATTACCAGCACGAGTGGTAGTTTGACCCGTGGGGAATAAGCCTTTCCCGTGTGTGTGTGGGTGTGTGTGTGTGTGTGTGTGTGTGTGTGTTAGATTTCTTTTATTAAAGTTATTAAGGTGTGTTTTAGTCTTTTTATGATTTGTAGCGAGCCTGACGCTCAGTGTCCTTTTATTCTTTTAACATACTTTTCTGTGTTTTATTTCAGTGAAGGAGGACGAGCCAGTGGCCCTGGGACCTCAGGTGGTGGGTCGTTTTCACACTTTCTTTTGTACAGCAC